CACTGATGACATCACAACACACTGATGACATCAGAATGCACAGATGACATAAGAACAGACGGATGACATCAAAACACACTGATGACATCAGAATGCACAGATGACATAAGAACAGACGGATGACATCAAAACACACTGATGACATCAGAACAAAAGATGACATCAGAACAAACTGGACAACGTCACGAAAGCAATATACTTCCTACATATTAAATGACAACATGAAAGTGATTACATCACTTAACTAATCACATCAAAAATACCACAAACTAATTACACCATATATAAATCAAAGACATCTCAAGTATATCGACGTATTTAAAATGACAGTATTATCATGATGACATTACTATCGTGATGACATTACTATCATGATGACATTACTATCATGATGACATTACTATCATGATGACATTACTATCATGATGACATTACTATCATGATGACATTACAATCTGTTGAAGTTGAATAGGCATTTATTAGGAGTGCTAAATATAGCCACCATGTATGCATAACAACACACTTAGGTCAACAAGGCTATACGCACACTACACACCTATTCATAACAACACACCTACTACAGTATCTTTGTACCAAAATAACCCACCCCCCCCCCCCCACCCCCAGCCACCCCCACCCCAACCTTCAGCAAAAGAGTGGAATGATTTCTAGAGTCGGTTACTCGCCAACCTCCGCTTTTTAGCACTCCTGATATATGCCTGTTCAACTTCAATAGACTAATCACACTTTTCCGCTTCAAAGCAACTTGCAAAACTAGTATCAAAACACGGAAACTAATCTTAATGTAACTTTTAAATAAATCCTAATTCATAAATAACATCAATGGAAAATTCTATATGCAAACTTTAAATATTTATAACATAAACAGCGTATCTAAAAACAATGCGTTAACCAGTTATTAAAATAGCATGTAGTGTACTTAAGAGCTAGGTTAGGCTGACCCCTAGTTACAAATATGTCAACAACTTGACCAGGTTTTGATTTACACAGTCAAAACTTGGTGTGATGTTACACACAGAGGCGTAATTTTAGGGAGGGCGCCGATCTTAACTGGGGGGGGGGGGGGCAAACTGTGTAGGAACAAAAATAAAAACTTATTCTGAGCTGCATTAGTTAATTATACCAGGGGTCGGCAACCTGCGGCTCGCGAGCCGCATGCGGCTCTTTTCATGTCAAGATGCGGCTCTTCGGCTCCATGCACACGTATTAATAATTATTTTATTTTACTTTTAAAAATCATATATATATATATATATATATATACATGTTAGTGGCTCTTTAAAATCTTGGAAACTTTGTAAACAGTAACTTTTGGCTCTTGTGTCTCAAAAGGTTGCCGACCCCTGAATTATACACATCTGGATTTAAGAGTGTAGACTAACCACTTGGAATAGTGACTTCTTAAAAGCGCCCCATCCCCGACCTTTCCAAATGAGAGGTGGGGGGAGTTTGACCCCCCCCCCCGGTTCTAGCTACACAGTGTCTGTAAGATCAGACCAAATGTGCCTATATCGCCTGCAGTGTTTCTACTGCACCCCCCCCCCCCGAACGAAACGGAAATGTATGCCCCCTCCCCGAAAATATCAAGTGCCCCCCCCCCCCCGGAGAAAAAAAAAGTCTTGAAGAAACACTGATCGCCTATAATTAATTTTTTCATCTCTACTCCTCCCCTATCCCACACTGTCATACAATACAATAGATTTTTAACAAACAAAAATTATAGTTATGAATACACAAACCCATGCAATTCGCAAGTTCCATGGATCATACTGTCTGTGGTGAAATTCTAAAAAACATACATCTATACCTATCTATCTATATCTATATATATAATTCTATTCTGGTAGACGCTAGAAAACAAGCTGTAAGCGCGCTCCCTACTACCCCACCCCTACATGGTCTGGTGAGCTGTGGTTCACGCTAAATGTTTACAGTCGTAGAGCCGGGTTTAGTGACGGCTATTAGGGGCAGATAATTTAGTTTGAAACTATTTTAAACTTAGGGGAGGTAACTAAGAGGAGGCTGCTTTCCCGGGGGAGGTGTAGGGTAGGGGTTGGGGGAAAGGAGGGTGGGGATAGTGTTTTAAAGCAAATATTTTCAGTGGCAGCATTGGTACTGTCGAATTCACAAATTATGAATTACTGAAAAGTAGAAAAATAAAACAACTAAATAGCGGCGTATGATATGCCGCGGGTCGGCTCGTTATAAATATCAGATGATGATCAGACGTAGGGATTGGTGACATAATTAGTCTCGCAAGATGTAGTGATTATGAATAATATTTTTTGATTGATTGATTTTCCACGTTTACCATACTGACCATCTCCCTGAAATATTTTGACCACTACAATGATATTTTAACCTACCGACTACTTTCCTGATATGCTGCCCTACTGTCTACTATCCTGATATGCTGACCTACTGATTACTACCCTGACCTACTGACTACTACCCTGACCTACTGACTACTACCCTGACCTACGGACTACTACCCTGACCTACGGACTACTACCCTAACCTACTGACTACTACCCTGACCTACGGACTACTACCCTGACCTACTGACTACTAACCCGACCTACTGACTACTACCCTGACCTACTGACTACTACCCTGACCTACTGACTACTACCCTGACCTACTGACTACTACCGTGACCTATTGACTACTACCCTGACCTACTGACTACTATCCTGACCTACTGACTACTACCCTGACCTACTGCTTACTAGTTGATATGTTGACCTACTGACTACACTGTGTTATACTAAAATACTTTGATATTCTGTGATATTTTAACAAAAGACTACTAGTATGAATTATTTGAACTACTGACCACTATCCTGATATTTGACCTACGGACTACTATCCTGATATTTGACCTACGGACTACTATCCTAATATTTGACCTACGGACTACTATCCTTATATTATGACCAACCAGTGGTGTCCCTAGGTCGGGTGTCACCCGGTGCTGTCCGCACCCCTCGCCCCGCCCTCGCTACGCCCCTGTGACCAACGAACCACTATTCTGTGCTATTCTAACCAAATGACTACTAGATACACTATGGAATATTTTGACCTACTGACCTCTATCCTGTTCTATTTTTATCCCTTTGTCCACTACCCTGTTATCTCTAGCCCCACTGACCATCCTACTACACACACACACACCAACCAACCCACTCTGACAAACAAGTCGGCCTCAACAAACGACTGTGACGTTACACTTCCGGTTGACATTTTCAAATGATCCTCTATTGTAGTTGACATAAAATACAATTCCCTCTTCCCCCTCCTCATGTACACTACCATCACAGCCTCCCTCCCCTCTCTGTTAATGCTCTCATTTCAATCCACTCGCCCCTCCCCCCCTTTCACAATTTTACACCCGTATATTACCCTTCATAAATTACTGACCTACCCGTACAAATAACCATTGCTTACATCGTTCATTACACGAGTGCGGTCATTACATGTAACTCACACCGTGAGAAGTGTCTAGTCTACTGGCTACATAGGTCCGGGTCACCAGTGGCTACCGGCTACACACGCCGTGTCTGTCGCAAACTGCTGTGTTGTTGTGAGCGATAGATTCACCTTTGACCTCACGGCTCATATACTCTCGTGCTGGCGTTGTTTACGCGTGTTGGTGAGTGTGTTATGTTGTGACCGTGTTTTGTGGAGTTGACTGTCAAGACCGAAGCGCATCTAGAAAAGGTGAGGTAGAGTTGACGTAATTCCACACCTCGGGTATTTTGCGAACTAAAGAACAACATCTAAGTGTTATGTAAAGAAATGTATTTACAATATTCTCCGTTACGTGTGATTACATAGCTGAATAAATCTCCAACACATTTTGCGATCAATGCTTTTATTACAGAAATAAAGTGTTATTTATTTTATTTTTAGTGCATTTAAACGCTTATTATTATAAAGTATTTTATATTTGATTTATTCCTACTTTGGGTTAAGACGAATTTTTTAAACAGAAGTTGCAATTAAATCCATATGAAATTTGTTTTTCCAGCGCTATCTTTTTTTTTATTAGAGCTAGCTATATTTTAAATCTAAAACTTGCTTGTAAAATGTTTAGGATAATTTTTTTTTAAAGTGTGCATATAGACCTAGTGTCAATGTAAATGAAACAATGCTTTCTTTTAGATGTATAAATGTAGTTTTCTTTTGTAACGATGTAAAGAAATAACTTTTTACATTTATTATTGTTTTGCTAAAAGTAAAATTTTACATTCTTTTTTCAGAAACTGAGATAACTACCAACTGATTTAGATACTGATATAACTAGCTGATTCAGATACTGAGATAACTATCTAACTGATGCCGTTTTAACTCACAGACTGTATTTTCTGAAACCACCCGCCATGACACCCTACATTGTCGTAGCTCTCGCTATCCTCGCGACCTGGTTCGAATCCTCCTCAGCCAACAACTACAACTACACCTGCAGGAAAATTCACGCCGCTTTAACCGTGGGCAGGGGCAGCAAGGAGTACATCCTTCTGAGTGGCAAGCGCTACATCAAGTACAACTTTGCGTACTCCAGCGAGGCTAAGGAAGGGCCGATAACTGACCTCAAGATACCGCCCACGATGCACACTCCGGATGCCGTGTTTACGGGGAGGGACGGTCGGGTGAACGTATTGAAGGGGTGTAACATCCACAGGTGAGTCTATGTTGTTCACATAGGGGGGGGGGGGGGGGGGGGGGTCGGGTAAACGTGTTGAAGGGGTGTAAGGTCCACATGTGAATCCAAGTTGTTCACGGGGAGAGACGGGGGGAAGGGAAGTCCAATTTGTTTGTATTTGGGACTCCTTGATCAGCCGTACCCAAATAAGTGTAAGTCTCCCAGCCGTCTGTGTCCTTAAGGGGGTAGGCTCTGTTAAAAAATAACTTTTTTAATACTCTTTAGGAAACAATTGTTTCTCTATAGCTTTTTTTAAGGTACATATGTTTCAATTATGAAAAAAATTGGTGGAAATTTTTGGTAACTATGACAACGGTGGCCATCTTGAATAATTAACCCCTTCGTAGGTTTTCTACCATACATAAAATATTATATTTTAAACCCACTAAACAATGAATTTATAATCTTCTTACATATTTTTGGGGTACTCAGCTAAAATATAATAAGTTTATATCTTCAAACTAATTTTTTATGATTTTTTCAAATTGTGGGTCCATTAAAAACACTAGTTTTAATGCCCTAAAATTCCCCAAAAAAGCACTGTATAAGGTAAGTGATTGCTTGAAACTGGTGGAGTGATGTGGTGGATTTACACCCTGTTGTTAATGTAACCATAACGGCCACTTTGGATTTAGCAGCACCTGGCCAATGGTGCTATAGGGCTGATAAGTAGGTCACCAACCAGTTCTACGGCTCAATAAAACCTGCATGAGCCATAGAACTGGTTGGTGACCTACTTACCAGCCCTATAGTAAAACTACCTGTCTATCAGTCAATTTATCTAAACTTAAAATAATGTGCTGATTAACAGCTAAACTACCGATTATTACACCGTTAAGCTAATCTGTTGATTAACAAATAAGCTCATGTTGATTTTATTTCCTCCAACGTAAAGTTTCACCTGGCCGGACAACAGCAACATAAAGCCTACCGTAGTTACCAAACAGCTGAAAACCATTGGTCTACCCTGTCGTGTTGATGCTGCCATTGACCGCAAGGATGAAATTCTGGTCTTCAAAGGTAAAACGGCAAAACTTGTTTCTTTCTGTTTTAAGATGTTTTATGTGGAACAAAGGTAAAACGGCTGAACTTGTTTCTTTCTGTTTTAAGAAGTTCCATGTGGAACAGCGTTGTTGGATTGAGAATACAACTGTTAACCGGAATGTTTTGAGTTCGAATCCCGGTTTCAAGTCCATAAAGCGTCCCTGAGTCCACTCAGCTCTAATGGGTACCTGACTCGCGTTCAGAATTTCTAATATATGACGTCATGGACTGTTGGGAATACATTGAACATTGTGACTGGATTATGGATGATTGAAATGCATTCAAGTAATCCTCGAAGGGGGTGGGGGTGCTTCACATGATCTACCTTAACTTATCCCCTACCTTAACTCTCGTCTTAACCCTTTTACTCAACCACATATAATGTTAGAGAAGGGTACGGCTAAACCAACCGTGTCACCTTATCACAGGCTGCAGTGTGTGGAGGTTCAACGCCTCGTCTCAAACTTTCCAACCGCATGGAAAAACCGATAACCTGGGCCTCCCCTGCAACTTGGACGCCGCGGTGGAGTGGCGGCCGGGCGCCATCTTCATCAAGGGCGCCCAGTACTGGAGGGAGGAGAACGACGTCATGACCGTCCGCCACACGGACGAGCTCAACATCTGCTCCTGGTCGCTGTGTGGGGAAGCTGATTGGATGCAGGAGACGAGGGAGGGGAACTTGCAGTGCAACGGTGACTCAAGGTCAGTTCTGGTTGATAGATGTGTGAGTATCAGCCAGATGCGTAGCGATGGGGGGGGGGGGGGGCAGGGGGGTACAAATTTCCCTGGGCGCCGACCTTAGGGTGCGCCAAAATGGGTTGTAAAAACAAATTAAAATGTCATTTTTGCATTATAAGTAGTTTGACGGGTGGGGGGGGGTGCAAATCGAAAGTTTGCTCCCGAAGGGGGCGCCAAATCGAAAGTTTGTCCCCGGGCGCCTGGAAGGGTCGCTACGCCTCTGGTATCAGCCCGTCTAAAATGTTAACATGTCCCATGGGACACAGGCGTAGCGAACTAAAGTTTCCCTTACCACGCTTTTCTTTATAGTAATTTAAATAGTAGTGTATAATTTATTTTCTACTTTTTAGTGCATTATTACATAAAAGCTTGTTATTAAAACGTTTTTTTTTTATGATTTTTTTTTAAGTTTAGAAATCCGGCATCATACGCCAGTTTTTGAGATATATTACATTTTTTAATGTGGTTTCGGTTCGAATTTTACTGGAATATAATGCCATAACAACAGATTGAGTTAATTTTTGGGTATATTATTACCTACATAAAATGCATAGCGTGCGTAGGTAGCTCTTATTTATCATCTAAAAAGTAAAAACTATAACTCAATAAACTATAGCTTTGTATACGGGGACGAGATTTATGAATCAAAGATTGAGGTTTGTCTGGCTGAAGATTGCTCTGTCTTTACTGGGACTTTATTACCAACTTATGTCTAGCTTCGGAATTGTAATAATACTGAATGTTTACATAATATTACACGAGGGCTGCCAGGTATAGGGTCCATACAACTCTTCTACCTTCAACAAAGTATAATTAACCCTTGTGTTGCAATATTTACTTGAGCCTTAGATAAATATCAGCTAGGAGAAGGCTCACGATTGACCCTTACAAGTGCAGTTTTACCTACTGTTGTACAGTGGCGTAGCTAGGATTTTCGGGCCCCTATGCAAAACTATCAGTGAGAGAGAGGTGACACCCCACTGAAAATGCTAAATTGTTGTGGGATATGGGGTGACACCTTTAGTAAACATTATTTTAATGCTTATGATTTATTGAGATGCTTACTTGTCTGCTTTTAATTTTGCAAAATGATTAATAAGTTCCTTGAGATCCATTTTAGCCGCTTCTGTAAGTTCGATACTTAAAACGGCATAGTTACTGACCCAATGGCCATATCTACAATTTGTTTCATACCAAATTATCATCAACATAATGAGCAAATAATGGTCGTGATGTATGAAAGCATTGAGTGTACGTTAATCATCCTCTGTAATAGTGAGGTTGAACACCTTTCGGCGACTGCCTAGGTGTCAGGGGCATAGCCGGAGTGACCGGTTACATTACCGTAGGTAGCCGGGTGCAACCACTGGTTTGGTTTGATCATCTAACGTAGAGATCCACCGTGTCCCTAGTGTAGGCTACTCTTGTGACTGGTGTCTTCCGTACGCCGGGCGCGCCGAAAGCCGCCCCTGTTGCAGTTTGATTGTTGAATAAGTAGAACCCTAAATCAACGGATCCCTTGTATTCAGATGGCCGCTGAGTAACTCGGAGCGCCCAACCGCTACAACTGCTGATACGCTGGAGGACACCCCTTTTCGATTTAGTGATTCGGTGCCGTGTGGAGTGGTGGGTTCGGATCCCGTCTGACCAAAGCGACTCGAACTTTTCTAGAACCTGTGTCTACCTTTGGCATTTAATTCTTTATATCTAGATTTTTTATTTCCTTAACAATGCTTGCTTCCATCCCCACTTCATTATTCCTTATACAATATCTTCCTGGTTAACTTTCCCTCTGTCCTATCTAGCTAGGTCTTGTGTATAATTTTTTTACTGCTCTACTGTCCTCTAAACTGCTCCACCATTTGACACGACAGTTTGACCTTTTGTTGACCTTTGCCCAGGCTGTGTAGCTTGACGCTGAACCAGGTGACCCTGCCGGGCCTGCACAACGCCGGTGCCGGCTTTGACGGAGGCTTCGGCTTCGTGGACTGCTGGGTGAGGAACCACGCTCGCAGCATCTACCATCAGCTCACGCTAGGTAGGAACGGATCCACGCCAGACCGAGGGCGTTTGTATTGTTTAATTTATGTGTTTTTTTCATACTGATAAATAATGCAGCTTTTTAAAAACTTTTGATACATACATATGATGAAGCACAAGTTAATCCTCTTAGTTGTCGGTTTAAGTGGGTTATAACGTTGTTTGACGATAGGAAATAGGGAAAACATTATGTGACCACCACTGGTTTTTTTTTCAGACTTTTTTATCCGAGAGCGGGCACTTGGAAATTTCGGGGATGCTGACTAAATTTTTCAAAATATATATTTTCTATATAAATTCTATTTCGTTTGGAGGGAGGGTTGACGTTCTTCGGGCGATGGGGTGGGGGTGCGAAACCTCACCTTCCCCCTCCCCTCCCCACACACACACACCGAAGAGATGCCTGAAAGAAACTCTGGTGACATCATTTTTAACAATCCCCCTCCTATTTTTTAAAAAAATCTTCAAATTTTGAGATTAGGATGTCAGAAACATTTAATCATAAATTAGAAAATATCGGGTTGGTTTTTTTTTAATGTTTTTTTAACGTAGGTATCCGCCATCTTGATATCGACCCCTGCTACAAAACATGTGGGCTTGTGGGCACGTGTCATTCAATAGTCTGTGTCGGTAGTATCTGCCCAATCCTCAAGCAAGTTCGCCGATTTCTGCGGGATCATCGCGATGACGTCATATCGATCAATTTCAACCATGAAATCACCGAGCCTGAGATCGTCTTCAAGGGACTTAACAAGCAGTTGCAAGTTAGTGTTTGGATTATCTGTCCTTGTTAACTACAGATGTTTTTGTTTTTACTTGCAGTGTAATATATTGTATATTTTATTGCAATAGAAATGCTGTTTTATACTGTAGCTAAAGTCGCGTATGCTAGGGATGTTAACGAGTCGAGAATTCTTCTCCCTCCCCTCTACCCTGCATAGTGCCCCTTCGAGACGCTTTCATCGCTTAAGATTGCAAATATGTGAATGCCTTCATCTATTCATCCCTGTGGTTCATTTTTTTTAAACCACAACTAATAATAGCCTTAATTAATTGGTCAAATTTTTATATAGACTTTTAAACAGGATTTTTTAAGCCATTTTGCTCGTGTGAGGGGGAGTCGATTCAAAACCTTCTGGGATGGAGTCAAGGGGTTAATTATAGGAACGGTTAAAGTATATTATTAAATAATTTTTGTTACTTTATAAATGTAATGTGTTTTATTCTATTTTTCCCCCGGTGAGGTGGGGGGGGCGGACGTGCTACAGCCCCACCCCCACCAGTGTTTCTTCCAGACTTTTTTCTCCGGGGGGGCACTTGAAATCTTCGGGGGGGCGGTAAACTTTCTTCGGGGGGGGGCGGACACGGTTAAAAGTATATATTTTCTATATAAATGATATAAATTTCATTTCGTTCGGGGGGGCGGTAAAAAATTTTTCGCCCCCCCCCCCCCCCCAGAAGAGATGCCTGGAAGAAACTCTGACCCCCACCCCTTTTCCGAAGCTAACCTGAAAAAGAAACACTGCTATAAACAAACATTCTAAAGAAAAAATAAATCCTCCTTCCTTAGCGCCAGTTGGGACCAATGCTAAACTCTGGATTCCGAGACTCAGGGGAGACCACTTGGCCCACTTTGGGTGAGAGCGTGCGCACCAACCAGCGAGTTTTCGTCTTCTACGCACCCATCATCGAAAGCGAGGCTCACCGGAACTCGTCCAACTACAACCTGACCTGGATCCACAGTGAGAGATTGCTAGGGAGCACGTGGAAGCCATTTTCTATCCCGAACACTTGTAAAGAGGTCTACATATTACTGTGCTTTTTGTTCATACGGCGTGCGCTCTATTGTTTAAAAAAAATTAATATTGGAAACTAGCTTTATAAATCCTAAATACATTGTTTTTTCTAATGAGTCTCTCATAAAAGTTTTAAAAGAATGCGTGTCACTCCTAAAGCGGGGGAAGGGATTTCATATTTTTTGTCCAGATGTGTGACGATGGAATGGGGGGGGGGGGAGAGCTCATAAAGTGTGACGTCACATTTTAGTTTTTTTTTTTGAAAAGGGGATTTGCGGTCAGCACTCTGCACAGCCGCCTTTACTTTCCCCAAGGTAAGTCAGGTACCCATGAGAGCTGGGTGGACTCGGGGACGTCCTACAGTCACAGTTGCGAACTGAGATCCCAACTCATGACCACTCCGGCTATGGGTAGGGTGGGTGTAAAAATATCAAAATTTGCGTGACGTCATTTACGTTCGATCCCTAGGGGGTAAAGAAATTAAACAATGTACCTCCTTTTGATTAGGATCTACAAAGCAAAATTCAGTGTTAAAATAGTAACTAGTGATGTATACAGAAAGCTCGCTAATAAATTAGTAATCAGTGGGAGTCAGTTCTTTAATTGTTTACTCCCATTTGAGGTGGGGGTAGCGGGTATCTCCATTTGTCTACCACCATCCAAATGTCTACCTCTAACAATATGTGTTATGTGACATAAACTGGTGTAAAAAAAAATTAAACAATTTACAAAGTTTTGATAAGGATCTACAAAGCAAAGTTCAGTGTCAAAATAATAATTAGTGATATATACGGTAAGCTCGCTAATAAATTAATAATCAGTGGAAGTCAGTGTTCTTTGATTGTTTACATCCATTTGGGGCGGGGAGAGGTGTATCGAGGATTTCCAGTTTTCCTCACAACTTTCAGATGTCTTATTGCCTAGCTCTAACTATATGTGTTATGTGACATATTTTAAGCTCTAACTATATGTGTTAGGTGACATATTTTAAGCTCTAACTATATGTGTTATGTGACATATTTTAAGCTCTAACTATATGTGTTATATGTGACATATTTCAGCTCTAACTATATGTGTTATGTGACATATTTTAAGCTCTAACTATATGTGTTATGTGACATATATTATATGTGTTATGTGACATATTTTTAAGCTCTAACTGTATGTGGTATGTGTTATGTTAAGTGTTATGTGACATATTTTGACCACTAACTGTATGTGTTATGTGACACATTTTGACCACTAACTATATGTGTTATGTGACATATTTTAAGCTCTAACTATATGTGTTATGTGACATATATTATGTGTGTTATGTGACATATTTTGACCCACTCAGGTGGTGGATGTGAGCCGAGCGATGTGCCGCCAGAGACAGAACAAGGAACTCCTGGAGGTGTCCATAGTTCCAGAGAGCCCCGGATGCAACTCGAACAAAGCTCAGAAATGCCAGCCGTATCTTCACGAGGCGCTGAAGGCCTGTGAGGAATCTAGACACCCGTAAGTTGTTTTTTTTTTCCGCACCACCGCTTTATATGCCAAGGTCAATGAAACAGGTGAACTCTACTTCACCTACCCCATAGGTCAGCCAGGTTCGAAAGGGTAACGTTTTAAAAACTCTTCCATTGGCTAGTTTCTGGCAGGGGTGACGCGATTTTCTCAACCAGTGACAATGGTTGTATCAAGCAAAGATAACTCATAACGTTTTGTAATTAATTTGACTGTGTTTTATTTTCAGGAACGGCAACTCTCCAAATGTTTTACTAGTAGATTACCCGGAAGAAAACAGCGACTCCATTAACTCGGTCTTTCACGCTGTGTTCCATCAAAACGTGAGGAATATCTTCAAGCATCGGCCTCAAAGCTGTGTGGTAAGACAATGTAAACATTCAAACATTTAGCCTTTTTGTTTAATGTTAACATTCAAACATTGGCTTTATTGGACGCGGTAGGGGGGAATTCCATTACACAGAGGCGTAGCGACCCTTCCCGGGGACAAAATTTCAATTTGGCGCCCCCTGAAACTTTCGATTTGCACCCCGCCCCCCCTCCGCCTCTAACTTTATATAATGCAAAACTATTTATAATGCAAAAATACAGCTAAAATGACATTTTTATTTGTATCCCCCCCCCCCCCCCGCTACGCCTCTGATTAAACATATTGAACCATCGGCCTTGTCTTTGAGTTGTAACTGAAAGCCACACTAAAAAAAACAACCTTCAAATCTCAGCTTTACCAATAAGTGGTTGGCTGAAGTCACTGAGCACAAAGTCATTCAAACACCAGCTTAAAAGTTGAGTGATAAGCAGAGGCGTAGCGACCTTTCCCGGCGCCCGGGGACAAACTTTCGATTTGCACCCCCCCCCTTAGGATTTCGATTTGAACCCCCCCCCCTTTCGATTTGCACCCCCCCCCTTAGGATTTCGATTTGAACCCCCCCCCCCCCTTTCGATTTGCACCCCCTCTCAAGGTTCAAGGTTTCAATTTATTTTTCCAACCCATTTTGGCGCCCCCTAAGGTCGGTGCCCGGGGACATATGTCCCCCCAGCCCCCCCCCCCCCCCTCGCTACGCCTCTGGTGATAAGTCATTAGAGTATCTCTTCAATAAATGCCACAAGCAGAAGAAGACAAACACAGAAGCTAGTGTCTTGTTCAAACCTTTCATCTCAAATTTTGATTTTCACCAGGTGAAGATCGACGCAGCCGTTAGTGTAGACGACGATACGACGCTCTTTTTTGTTGGAGAAAAAATTATTGTGCACAAAGTGGCCCAAACAGATGTGAAGTACGTCATCATTACTTTCTATAAATAAACTGTTGAGGTCAGAGCTGGCTATAACGTCATGGAAATATATGGTCTCTTGAACCAGTTGGAAAGGATTTAAAACTGTTACTTTGTTCTATAATTAGTACACATCACTGTAGTTGTAAGCCTCGAGTTGGAGTCTGGGTCCAAGTCAGTAGAACATCCAGGGCCGGCGTTATTTATAAGGCGAACTAGGCGGTCGCCTAGGGCGCTGTCCATTGGGGGCGCCAAAATGGGTTGGAAAAACAAATTAAAAGTTTGAGGGGGGGGGGGATGCAAAGTTTGTCCCCGGGCGCCGGGAAGGGTCGCTACGCCTCTGATAATACGGGGGCACGAAAAAAAAAATTGCGGGTGGGGGGCGCTATAGATAAGTTTTGCCTAGGGCGCTAAAAAAATCTGGCGCCTGCACTGAGAACATCCCTTAGTGCACACAGCTCTGACGAGTACCTGACTCTTGTGGGTATATTAAAGTTAGTAGAAAAAGTGATAGTCCAACAACTCCACATCATAATTTAAGATTTCAATAAAGTTTTACCATTGTTTAGTGTGTATATATAAATATATATATATATATATATATATATATATATATATATATATATATATATATATATATAGGCCTGCAAATGTTTTCTTTTAAAGAAACGTACCTGGCCTATACAACATAGACGCCGCATACAACATTCCAGGAACCAACATCATTAAGGTTTTTAAAGGTATGTGCTGTAAAGTTGGATTCTTTTTTTTATTATTATTATTTTTATTTTGTTAGTTAGGGGTCATCCATAAATGACGTCACACTCGTAGGGGGGAGGGGGTTCCGTAATTTTGTGACGATGTGTGATGAGGGGGAGGAGGGGGGGGGGGGGTTCAGCTGTTGCGACGTCACATTTTTGCAATATAAAAAAGCAATGTTAGAAAGCGAATTTTAGACGTTATTTCGCGTTTTAGATAACTGTTTTAATAAATTGTAATAGTTTAGACAAGATTTTGGAAAAATATCGATGTTTTAAAAAAATTCAACTGCAATTTTGAGGGGGGGGGGTTGTAGGTTGAGGTGTGACGTCATTTTAGGGGGGGTGGGGTCTGGCTTTTTGTGACGACGTGTGACGGAGGGGAGGGGGGAGGTAAAAATCGTCCAAAAAAGCGTGACGTCATTTATGGATGACCCCTTACACGGTTTCTCTAATAGTAATAAAACAAAATCCCAGACAGTGTTGATTTATTGCAACCATCTCTGAATATCACATTTATGCTTTTATTTTATGCTATTTTTTTTAGTAGGCCACAGTAAGTAGGTTGATGGGTGGGTTGTTCTTCAAATCGTGTTAGTACATTTTGATCGATTTCTTCCTCACTTTCCATATAACTGCTTCTGTAATGACAATACAAGAATAGCTAGTTTACACTTGCGACATGTTTACTATACATTTCACATACCTAGGGAAAAAAACTCCGTAATAATCGCAAGTGTAAACATGGTGTAACACTGACCATACAATCAATATCAGCATTTTCAATAATACCTAGATTCTAGTTAATATAGACCCACTGCTCTAAAAGTGCAGTTTTTTTTCTTATGTTTTATTGTTTACAGAGTTTCTTCCAGGCATCTCTTGGGGGGGGGGGGGGGGAAGCTCAGAAAAAAGTCCCCCCCCCCCCCCCCTCAACGAAATGGGATTTATATACTATTATAGAAAATATATACTTTACGAGTGTCCGCCCCTCCCCCCTGAAAAAAATATGAACACTGCTTGTTTATAAACAAAATATCCTCATACGACACACTATCAACTCGGTTCCTTAAAAACACGTCAATCATTTTACATCAACTTTAACTGTAAACATCTACAGGCTGTGAATCATGGGACGTCGATGGCGCCAGCCTACTTCCTGTGACGTCAGACAGACAACAAATACAGACCTGTGACGTTGACGCTGCCGTGGTGTGGAACTCGAAGGTTCATGTTTTTAAAGGTACTACACATCCACACGTGGGTTCTGCTAACACTGCAAGGCACTGAACTCTACTGTACACTATCAATTTATTTAAAAAGTAGTAATTACCGTATAACGATTTAAAACACTATAATGCATTAAGCGATTAAAAGCTGGTAGTTTTTCAAGCAGTATTATACACATCAAACCTTTTACTATCCATCAAGGTAAAACGCGAAAACAAGCAGCAGGGGGGGGGGCATATTTTTTGTGACCCATCCACTGTATTTCCAGGGTTTTAAAATATATTAAGGACATTTTTTTAAATAACTGAAATGTAAAATTTAAAACTAATCGCACATTGGGAGACTCATTCCTTGGGATGGTGTTCAAAACACACATTGGCTGTGCATTTCGCTGACCACACTATCCCTTCATATACCGAGGTCACAGAAACATGTGAACTCTACTTTACCTGCCCCGTGGGTCGCCAGGTCCGAAATCACAAATATCATATCAGTATATATTAACAAGGGTGCTTGATTTTCCCAGGATGTAGTGTGACGTCAGAAGGACTCGAACAAAACCCACTGCCACAGTGGGGGCTGCCCTGCAACATTGACACAGTTCTGCTGGCTAAAGGGGAGTTAATTTTCTTCAAAGGAAACGAGTACTGGACATACACGGCAGACAAAGAGATCAAACAAAGGGGCAATACTCTGGACTGGAGGATTGATGCAGTAAAATGTCAAGAGAACTGAAGTTTGTCAACTTCTAAACACCCTGTCAATGTAGCCAAACTTGATTTGCAGATCTTTTCAAATGTTAAATATTTTCCTTGTGTAGAATAGATCAAATACATTTATGAGATTTAAGTCAATAATATTTTGATGATTTACCTTTTAAGTTGTACTCTGTATTAACCTGTATGTGAAATTGATTTTTTTATGAACTTTCACACCTAAAATTTTTATTTTTTCATTACATTATTTTCTAATAATTTAAAACAGTTACATCAAACTAACCATTTTTATTTATTATAAAAAAATAATTTAAAAACCATATATTAAACATTAAAAACTGATTTTAACAATAATATTTTTATTCATATGTATGTCAAGTCATAGCATGGATAAAGTAATAAAACATCAATTATTAAATAAGACCCAAAACTCAAACTAACTAGTTTACTCATGTTCTTTTTTTTTACAATTATAGTTTATTAAGAATAGAAAAAAAAAACTTTCAATTAACAAACTGTACCCGCCCTACAATTTGTCAAATACTTAGTACAAAACAATTACTTATATTACTATAAACTCAAACCAATGTAAAGAATACCATAAAAACTGGCACCCTATTACAAAATAATAGCTGAAACTGGAGCTTGATCATGAATGAAAATGTAGAAACAACACAAGCTGGCGATTATCATTGTGTATCCATTGGCTGAGGTGTGACTTCAGTGCCAAAAACATCAATTTCAATTTTCTTGACCTCAGACGACAGGATGGCAGTGGTTCCTCTCTTGTACAGGTAACTTCCCTGTCTGAAAACAAAGTGAAAATAAATTGGTCACCAGAGAATACACACAGCAGCAGAATGACCTGCTGACCCCTATACTATGGTATTTTGTCAGGCCGGTTACTAACATGTGATATTTTTATCTACTGTCTACAACCCTGAAATATTTTGACCAACTGACCACAACCCTGTGAGCCTTAGCCCAACTGTCCGCCATACTACGTCTGTAAGCAACATAGCGCTCTGATAAACAGCACTGAGCAAGCGGTGGGAGTTGTGTCGTGAGGTTAGACACTTCCCTCCGTCCTTTCCTTCAACCTTTTACATCCTTGTATTATTAGTATACATTACTTAACTATCCAAACAAACAACCACACATCGTGTGGACGTGTATTATAGGAAGACGCTCATCACATGCGATACATTGCGTGAAGTGTCTTGTACTGCGTAGGGTCTTGTGAGGATACTGACTACATCCGGGTCTCGATGTGCTACTGGCAGAAGCGTAGCGACAAATTCTTGCGCTCGAAAACAGTTTTTTTACCCCCAGCCCCCCTTTTCCCGTTTTATTTGTTGTATTCTATAGTGCTATTTACTGGTCGCTGACTTCTAATAGTATTTATTTTCCTGTTACACAAGCCATTAAGACAATAGTTACCTCAGTGTGTAAGTCATTGTAGCAATTTTTATTTAGCTCAGGATATTTTATATTCTTGTTTCCCTTTTAAGATCAGCGGCCGCCCCACCCACCCACCCTAGCTACGCATCTGGCTGCTGGCTACTTATACCACACATAAATTGTCGGCCCCGCCTCCTGTGTTGTCACTGAGAGTGAGCGCTAGGTTCAACTTTAACCTCTCGGCTTATACACTCTCATGTTGTGTCGTCCGCACGGCTAGGTGAGTGGTGTGTTGTGATCATGTTTTGTGAAATTAACTCTAAGACCGAAACGTCTATAGAACAAGTGAAGAAAAGCTCACGTCATTCCGCAGATTCTGGTAATTTGCGAAAGCTAGGATTTTCGCGAGGCTATGCAATGTAATTTCTCAATAAAATCGAGAACGACAGCGAAATATAATGCATTTAAGACGTTTATTTCAAATGCGCCGTAATCTTTTTACCGACATATAATCACCGAATCTACTTCTCTGAAACTAACTTCAAATTACACGAACTATTTCTATGACTTTGTTAAAAATATATTGCCGTTAAAAATCTAAATCTAAAACGTTACTTTGTTTTTAAAACGTATGTAAATAATGTATGGTTACATGTAAATGTGATAAGCTTTAGTGGTTTTCACTTCATTCTAAACAAAATATTTTATGTAGCTTTATGTTGCTCAATTTCGTGTATATTACGCATTAATATTTGAACTGTGACATTAGATTTCTTTCATTTTTTAACAGAAGATTTTATTAAATCCTTATATAACTCAATTTTATAGGTTTGGACAAGCCAATAATTTCTTATCCTAATATATAAAAGCCCATGTGCGCACTTCTCTCTCTCTCTCT